GCGTCGCTGGCATCTGAAAACATCAGTGCCATTAACGTGAGTTGTAAATAAACTACCAGGGATGGGTTAGGTATTTTAAATCCTATAGCTCTTTCTGTAAGCATAGGAATGCTATTCGGAGTATTCTGGCTAAAATTCAGCCCAAGTACTTACATTCTGCCAACTCCAATCCCCTCCTGGAGTTTCAAATGGATATGATACTTATCTTCACTTTCCCTCTTAACTATTGTGTGTTGTTGCTGTAGGTTGCTAAACAACTGCTGTCTCATCGGTGGCTGTATTTTGCTGGCAAATAAAGTGAGCCCCGTATGCATACGAACCATAAAGCTATTTGGAGTCCTTGCATAAGAACCCCAAGATACATGTAAGCTGTTAATATTTATTATGTGGAGCTGAGAACATCACTGAAGATGGAGGGATTAGAGTAACTGAGTTCAGGCTGTTGAACAGCCAGACAGAATGGAGGAGAAAACAGATGCCCTGGAGGAATAAGAGCAAAAAGCACAAGGAATTTTCTGCATGCAGGATTAGACTCCAGTGGAGCATGGAAAGAAAAAGCCTGGGAATGCTCCGGAGAGCCGGGGCGGATAGCATGGATGCAGCTTTATGTCTTCTTGCTCAGAGGTGAATCTCTCCACTTCCTCCAAAAGAGCAGCAGCTGGACCATGGGCTCGCTGGGCTGCTAACAGCAGGAGCCCGGCGAGAAGGTACCTGGCCACAGCAGGAGGCAGGTTGGACAAGATGTTTCTGAGGCCCCTGAGAGAGGACTTTGACTTCTGGGCCATGCAATGCTTGGACCTGGCCCTCTCTCTGCTCGGTGTTTCGAGAGCCTCCTAATCTGTTTTCTCTTTTTGCCTCGTGTCTCAAGAACAGTGTGACCTAGAAACTCTGCATTTCTTCTGTGGTTTTCGCCTGAGCTGGGCGAAGAGCTTTCCTCTGCCTCACAAAAACCAAGCGACGGTGGGGAACAACACCAGCCCTTTTCTGTGGAACAAGGTCTTCTGCAAACCAGCTGCTTTGATATCCAAAGGACTCGTAGCAAGGAAAGGGAAGGCT